TTTTGAGATTCATGCATGTTGTTGCATGTATTGGTATGCATTCTCACGGGCTGCGGACTGGTTTTCCATCATATAGACACACGTCATCCTGTATCACCGTTCACCTGCTCATGGGCGCTTGGACTGCTTCCGGTTCTTGGCTGTGGTGACTAAAGCTGCTGAAACAGTCACATCCAAGTCTTCGTGCACATGTGTGTCATTCCTCCTTGGTGAGTTCTGAAGGGTGACCAGGTACGGCACACATCTGGAGTCTCTCCTCTTCGGTATTTTTTAATTCTTAGATATACAATTATTTTGAATAAAACACCAAAAATTGACAGATCCCAAAGATGTCCTCTGCCATCTGCATGACATGATCAACAAGAAACTATTAAGCACCAAAATTAAATAAATAACTATTGTCTTCGAATGCCATTAGTTGTTATAATAATGGGTTTTGGCTTTTTGTTTTTGTTTCTGTTTTTTTTTTTTTCAGGTTTTTTGTTTGTTTGTTTGTTTTCGCATCATTCAGGAATAAGTGAATTCACATAAGTAAATTTTCTAAAAACCAAACCTTAACATTTAAATTTTCTACTTTTGAATATTACCTGTTTCTGATAATATCATGGTTTATCAGCATTCCTAACCCTCTAGAAATCACCCTGGAGTTCTGCTCCTACTAAACCGTGTGCCGCCTCCTGCCCTGTGCCTACTGTCAGTCACGGGTCGCTGGCCGCCCGCACGGGCAGACAGCCTGTCCAGCTGTTTGTCTCACAGCAAGTGCTGAGGGGCCGGCAGGTCCATGTGCTGCTAGGGACACCCCCACTGTCCAGCTGCAGACCCTTTGTTCTCTCAAATGCCAATAAACCCACCCAGTCTGTGCGTGCACACGAACTCCTCTAAGCTCTTCCTAAATCTCCAAATGGGCTAAGAGAGCCAATGACAAGGTGTGGAATTCAGTCAAAAGAAATATTTGCATGTATGCACCATGACATTTGTAAAAAATACTAAAAGCAGTGGTGTTCATAAAGCAAAGGGAGAGAGAAACAATCCAAATGTTTATAAATAGGGAAATGGACTCATGTGATCAATACCAAATCAAAAATGTTGACTGAGATATGAAGAGATCATTGATATCACATAACCAAGATCATTGATATCACATTGGTATCTGGAGGAATCATCAGAGTTGATATGTGAACACCAATCAAAGGACCTGTAGACCCTTCCCAAACACCACGGGGATAGAAATGGGCTGGAAGGAGGGCTTTGTGGGCACGGTCTCTGAAGCAGCACTGAGGCCCTGAGACTGACTGGCTCCCGAAGGGCAGGTCCCACTAGGTCATTATCCTTGAGGCAAACCTGAGAGAGGTCTTCAAGAGAAAAATCAGAGAGTCTGGCCCTGGCCAGTTTGGCTCAGCGGTTAGAGCGTCGACCTGCGGTCTGGAGAGACCCGGGTTCGGTTCCCGCTAAGGGCACGTACTTCGGTTGCAGTTTGTCCCCGGCCCTGGTTGGTTGTGCGGGTGGCAGCCACTCGATGTGTCCCTTCGCGTCGATGTTTCTGTCTGTCTCTCCCTTCCTCTCTCTCCCTCCCACTCTATCTGTACAAAAAATGGAAAAATATCCTCAGGTGAGGATAAAAATAAAAAAAATCAGAGAGTCTGACGTGTGTCTCCTAGAGTGTGGGCAACCCATCCTGAATTCTTGCCCAGAAAGAAATTTAGAGGGAAGGCTGGGCCTGGGTGGGTCAGTTGGTTCAGCATCATCTAGTGCCCCTAAGGGTTGCCAGTTTCATCTCCGGTACAGGCGCACGTGGAAGGTCAGAGTTTCTCCCGATCTCTCTCTCTCCCTTCCTCTCTAAGCACATCCTTGGATGAGGAGTTTTTAAAAACACAAGCAGCCTGAGAAATGGGGAGTAGGGCAGGTGGCTGCATTGGGCTCGCCCATGTTCCCAGATGTATCAAGTGGGGGATGTACAAGGGCTTCATGTGGACCAGATGCGGGTCTTCTGGAGACAACGCCAGCCCAAAGTATCACATGAAAGAGCAGTGGGTCTCTAACTTTCCAAGTAGGAGGGACTGCTGGAAATGAGGGGCTGAATATGGAATCACCATTAGAGGAACCCAACACTCTGTCCCTGTCAGAGGAGTTGCAGTGGGAAGAACCAAGGCAAGAGAGTCCAGAGCCATCTTGAGACAATACCAATCAATGTGGGACTTTCCCTTCCTCCCCTCCAAGTGTAACCCCAAGTGAGAAGAAAAGAAAAAAGCAGCCACTCTCCTCATACTCCCTTCTCCAAAGTCCAGTGGCCCCACTACACCCTTACCATAGCCAGGAGATGAGAGACAGAAAAGATTACAGGATTAATGTGTTAAACCTTACTTTCTTGTTTCTGAATCAAGACAGTATTTTGCTGCTTAAAGTAACCTTAAAATTATTAGATCACCTGAGCTTTTATCTAAGTCATGCAGAGAAACTCTCCAATGACAACATTTTAAGACATAGTCAAAAATAAAATGAAGTTGTGTTCTGATGACATCCCTCTAGGCATGCTTGTTCAACACTTGATACATAAATTACCAACTACTAAACAGTGCTTAAAAAATAAGTGCTAGCATCCATTTCTGATAAAAACGCTCAGCAATGTGGGAATAGAGGGATCATATCTAGACATAATAAAGGCCATATATGAAAGACCTACAGCCAACATCATACTCAATGGACAGAAACTAAAACCATTTCCATTAAGAACAGGAACAAGACAGGGATGTCCACTTTCGCCACTCTTATTTAACATTGTACTGGAAGTCTTAGCAACAGCAATCAAACATGAAGAAAAAGTAAAAGGGATCCAAATTGGAAAGGAGGAATTAAAACTGTCATTATTTGCAGATGACATGATATTATACATAGAAAACCCTAAAGACTCCATCAAAAATCTACTAGACTTAATAAACGAATTTGGCAAAGTAGCAGGATACAAAATTAACGTCAAGAAATCGACGGCATTCTTGTACATCAATGATGAACTCACAGAAAGAGAAACTGAAAAAACAATCCCATTTACCATCGCTCCAAAAAAATTACGATACCTAGGAATAAACTTAACCAAAGAAGTAAAGGACCTATTTGCAGAAAACTACAGATCATTGAAAAAAGAAATAGAGGAAGATATAAAAAAGTGGAAGCACATACCCTGTTCATGGATTGGAAGAATTAACATAATTAAAATGTCCATACTACCCAAAGCAATCCCCATCAAAATACCAACGACATATTTCATAGAACTAGAACAAATACTTCAAAAGTTCATATGGAACCAAAAAAGACCCCGAATAGCCACAGCAATCTTGAAAAAGAAGGACAAAGTAGGTGGGATCACAATACCAGATATCAGGTTATACTACAAAGCGACTGTAACCAAAACAGCCTGGTACTGGCACTAGAACAGGCATATAGACCAGTGGAACAGAACTGAAAACCCAGAAATGGACCCAAGGCAATACGCTCAATTAATATTTGACAAAGGTGGCAAGAGCATACAGTGGAGTAAAGACAGCCTCTTTAATAAATGGTGTTGGGAAAATTGGACAGCTACATGCAAAAAAATGAAACTAGACCATCAACTTACACCATACAGAAAAATAAACTCAAAATGGATAAAAAACTTAAATGTGACCCGTGAATCCATAAAAATTCTAGAAGAAAATGTAGGCAACAAAATTTCGGACATCATACGCAGCAGAATTTTCACTGATACATCACCTAAGGCAACAGAAATAAAGGAGAAAATGAACACATGGGACTACATCAAACTCAAAAGCTTCTGCACAGCAAAAGACACAATCATCAAAATGGAAAGGCAACCCACTGTATGGGAGAACATCATTGCCAATGATGTATCAGATAAGGGGTTAATCTCCAATATATATAGAGTGCTCATACAACTCCACAAAAGGAAGACAAAGAACCCAATTAAAAAATGGGCAGAGGAGCTGAATAGACACCTCTCCAAACAGGACATACAAATGGCCAAGAGACATATGAAGAAATGCTCAACATCACTAATCATCAGAGAGATGCAAATTAAAACAACAATGAGGTATCACCTCACACCTGTCAGAATGGCCGCCATCAACAAATCATCAAACAACAAGTGTTGGCGAGGGTGTGAAGAAAAGGGGACTCTAATACACTGCTGGTGGGAATGCAGACTGGTGCAGCCGCTATGGAAAACAATATGGTGCTACCTCAAAAAATTAAAAATTGAACTTCCATTTGACCCAGTGATCCCACTGCTGGGAGTATACCCTAAGAAGCCTGAAACACCAATCAGGAAGAATATATGTACCCCCATGTTCATAGCAGCACTATTTACAATAGCTAAGATCTGGAAACAGCCCAAGTGTCCACCAGTAGACGAATGGATAAAAAAGCTGTGGTACATATACACCATGGAGTACTATGCAGCGGTAAGAAAGAAAGATCTCTTATCCTTTGAGACGACGTGGAGGGACCTGGAAAGTATTATCCTAAGTGAAAGAAGCCAAGCAGAAAAAGACAAATACCACATGATCTCACTTATATACGGAATATAATGAACATAACAGTCTGAGGAATACAGTAGACCCAGACACATGGAAGTAGGGCACAGACTGATATCCCTCAGAAGAGGGGATAGGGGGTGGGGGGGGTGGGAAGAGATAAACCACAGAACTTATATGCATGTATGCATGACCAATGGACATGGACAACTAAGCCGGGGAAAGGGTGGAGGGGGTGGGGGTGGGGGTGCCATTGGGGTAAAAAGGTAAAATATCTGTAACAAAAAAATAAATAAAAAAATAATAATAAATAAAAAAAAATAAAAAATAAAAAAAATAAAAAAATAAAAATTGAATTCACATTAAAAATAATAATAATAAAAAAAATATAAAGAGAAAAAAAAAAAAATAAGTGCTAGCATGGAAGACCTCCAAGACATTATGTGGAGATAAAAGCCAGTTAAAAAACAACACTTAGTGCTCATTTTGGCAGCACATATACTGAAATTGGAATGATACAGAGGAGATGAGCACAGCTCCTATGCAAGGATGACATGCACATTCATGAAGCATTCCATACATTTTGGAAATAAATGACATAACAACTAAAAAAAAGCACAAAAGTTCAATGAAATCAAAAGCTGGTTCTTTGAAAAGATAAACAAGACTGATGAACCTTTAGCCCAGACTCATCAAGAAACAAAGAGAGGCCATGGCCGGTTTGGCTCAGCGGTTAGGGTGTCGGCCTGCGGTCCAGAGAGACCCGGGTTTGGTTCCCGCTAAGGGCACGTACCTCGGTTGCAGTTTGAACCCGGCCCTGGTTGGGTTGTGCGGGTGGCAGCCACTCGATGTGTCCCTTTCACATTGATGTCTCTCTCTCTCTCTCTCTCTCTCTCTCTCTCTCTCTCTCTCCCCTCCCACTCTGTCTGAACAAAAAAAAAGAAAAGAAAAAAGAAACAAACAAAGAGAGGACCCAGGTAAATAAAATCAGAAATGACAGAGGTGAAGTAACAATTGACACCACAGAAATACAAAGGATTGTAAGAAAATATTATGCCAATATATTGGACAACCTGAGTGAAATGGACAAATTTCTAGACATATACAATCTTCCAAAACTCAGTCAGGAAGAAGCAGAAAACCTGAATAGACCACTAACAACTAAGTAAGCACTAATCAAAAAACTCCTACCAAACAAAAATACTGGATCAGGTGACTTCACAGGGGAGTTTTACCAAATATTCAAAAAAAGAACTAACACCTACACTCTTCAAACTATTCCAAACAATTCAAGAGGAATTTATACAAAGCCAACATAAGACTAATTCCAAAACCAGATAAAGACACTATAAAGAAAGAAAATTACAGGCCAATACCCTGATGAATATAGATGCTAAAATCCTCAACAAAATATTAGCAAATCGTATCCAGCAATACATTAAAAATATCATATACCAGGACCAAGTGGGGTTTATTCCGAGAATGCAAGTTGGGTACAATATTCACAAATCAATAAATGTGATATACCACATAAACTAAATAAAAAATAAAAACCATATGATCATATCAATTGATACAGAAAAAGCATTTGGCCCAGCTGGTGTGGCTCAGTGTCAACCCATGGACTAAGAGGTCTCAGTTCGATCCCAGTCAGGGCACATGCCCAGGTTCTGGGCTTGATTCCCAGTAGAAGGTGTGCAGGAGTCAGCCGATTGATGTTTCTCTCACACTTCAATGTTTCTCTGTCTCCCTAAACAATCAATAAAAACACATTTTTAAAAAGAAAAAGCATTTGACAAAATTCAGTACTGATTCATGATAAAAGATTTCAACAAAGTGGGAATAGAGGGAACATACCTTAACATAATAAAGGCCATATTTAAAAAAAAAAAAAAAAAATCTACAGCCAACATCATATTCAATGGGAAAAAACTAAAAGCAGTTCCCTTAAGAACAGGAATAAGACAGTAATGTCCAGTCACCATTCTTATTTAACATAGTACTGGAAGTCCTAGTCACAGCAATCAGACAAGAAGAAAAAATAAAAGTCATCCAAATTGGAAAGGAGGAAGTAAAACTGTCATTATTCACAGATGACATGACTCAAAAAAAAAAAAAAAATCTACTAGATTTGATAAATGAATTCAGCAAAGTAGCAGAATACAAAATTAACATCCAGAAATTTTGATGGAATCTTTATACATTAATAATGATCTCTTATAACCAATGGACATAGACAACAATACTGGGGTGAAGGGTAAAATGGGGAGGAAGGTGTCTGGGGGGGAAAGGAGAAACATCTGCAACAAAAATAAATTAATAAAAATTGAAATAATAATAATAATGACCTCTCAGAGAAGGAAACTAAAAAATAAAATAAAAAATCCCACTTACCATTGCAACAACAACAAAAATAAGATACCTTGGAAAAAACTTAACCAAGGAGATAAAAAATCATATACTCAGAAAACTACAGGACATTGGAAAACGAAATAGAGGATGACACAAACAGGTGGAAGCATATACTGTGTTCATGAATTAGGAGATTAACATTATTAAAATTTCCACAATACCCAAAACGATTTATAGATTTAATGCAGTCCCTATTAAAATACCAACAGCATGTTTCACAGATTCAGAACAAATAGTCCAAAAATTTATATAGAACCAAAAAAGACCCAAATAGCTACAGCAATCTTGAAAAAAAAGAACAAAGTTGGAGGGATCATAATATTGAATATCAAACTACTATAAAGACATTATAATAAAAAACAGACTGGTACTGGCACAAGAACAGACATATAAATCAATAAAACAGAACAGAGACCTCCAAAATTAACCCACACCATTAAGGTCAATTAATATTTGACAAAAAATTAAAGACAGTCTCTTCAATAAATGATGCTAGGAAAATTGGACAGATACATGCAAAAAAATAAAACTAGATCACCAACTTCTACCACACACAAGAATAAACTAAAATGGATAAAAGACTTAAATGTAAGTAGTGAGACCATAAATTCTAGAAGAAAATGTAGCCAGTAAAATATCAGACATCTCAGGTAGCAGAATTTTTGTCAATATATCTCCTAGGGAAAGAGAAACAAGGGGGAGAAAATAAACAAATGAGACTACATCAAACCAAAAAGCTTCTGCACAGCAAAAGGAACCATCATCAAAATGAATAAGGATCCCATTGTATGGGAGAATATATTTGCCTCTGGTAAGGGGCTAATATCCAAAATATATAAAGAACTCATAGGGATTCCAAAATGGCGGTGGAGTGGATGCAAGCTACATAGACCATATCCCAGAAACAAACTAGAATTACAACTAAAATAAAGACCAACCGTCAGGAAAAAGCAACAGAAAAGCAACTTGCAAGGACCATATAACTAGGGACACTGAATCAATCCTGGTAGGATTGTGGAGGTCGGGGGGGGAAGTGCTGGGAGCCCACAGACAGCAGCAGTCTTAGCTGTGAGCAGCGCCCTCAGGGTTAAACTCTCAAGCCCACTTCACAGTGTAGAGAGCTGGGACAGCGCGCTAAAATACCCACAGCCACTCACCTTGGGCTCTGGCAGAGGGAAGGTGAACTGGACTGAAACTGTGTGGGGATACTCAGGATTTGGAGGGTGCTCAGAGCTTTTCCTGAGTTGCAGCCACACAGAACAGTGGTCATCTTCCTCCTTCCCAGGGCAATGGGGAGAGGCAGCGGCCCCTCCCTTGGAGATTCAACCCCACCCAGAAGGGCCATTGAAATGCAAACTGAGGCTCATTAACAACCAGCATCTGACCCACCCTCAGGAAATCCCCTTACTCTGAACACCTGAGGGAGTTTTTCATTCAACTGAGAATCTAAGGCTCTTCAAGTAACTGAGACAAATAGCCTCCAGGCAAAATGCTAGAGAATAAGTGAACCATTCCTGGGCTTGCAACTATGACCCAGAAGGAAAGACTTGACAGTGGTGTTTAACATGGGTCCTCCCAGGCTCATCCAAACCCAGTAGAGGTAACCACAAAGAGTAGAACACCAACACCCACAGGGAAAATTTGGCAGGCTCCAAATCCCAATGAGATAGCCAAAATGGTGAAACAAAAAAACAAATCCCAAATGAAAGAACAAAAGACTTCTACTGGAACAAATACTTCAGAAGTTCATATGGAACCAAAAAAGATGCTGAATAGCCACAACAATCTTGAAAAAGAAGGACTAAGTAGGTTGGATCACAATACTGGATATCAGGTGATACTATAAAGCTATTATAATCAAAACAGCCTGGCATTGGCACAAGAACATGCATATAGAGCAGTGGAACAGAACAGAGAACCCAGAAATGAACTCTTGACATTATGCTCAATTAATATTTGATAAAGGAGGCAAGAGCATACAATGGGGTAAAAACAGCCTCTTTAAGAAATGGTGTTGGAAAATTTTGACTGCTACATGCAAAAAAATGAAACTAGACCATCAACTTACACCATACACAAGAATAAATTCAAAATGAACAAAAGACTTAAAGGTGACCCGTGAATCCATAAAAATCCTAAAAGAAAAAAACAAATCCCAAATGAAAGAACAAAAGACTTCTACTGGAACAAAATTTCAGACATCACACGCAGCAGAATTTTCACTGATACATCACCTAAGGCAACGAAACAAAGGAAAAAATGAACACATGAAACTAAATCAAACTCAAAAGCTTCTGGACAGCAAAGAAACAACCATCATAATGGAAAGGTAACCCACTATATGGGAGAGCATAATTGCCAATGATGCATCAGATAAGGCATTAATTTCCAAAATATATAGAGTGCTCATACTACTCCACAGAAGGAAAACAAAGAACCCAATTAAAAAGTGGGCAGAGGACCTAAATAGATACCTCTCCAAACAAGATGTACAAATGGCGAAGAGACATATAAAGAAATGCTCAACATCTCTAATCACCAGAGAGATGCAAATTAAAACAACAATGAGGTATCACCTCACACCTGTCAGAATGGCCGCCATCAACAAATCATCAAACAAGTGTTGGTGAGGGTGTGGAGAAAAGAGGACCCTAATACACTGTTGTTGTAATGCAGACTGGTGCAGCCACTATGGAAAACAATATAGTGTTACCTCAAAATATTTAAAATTGAACTTCCATTTGACCCAGTGATCCCACTTCTAGGAATATACCCTAAGAAGCCTGAAACACCAATCAGAAAGAATATATGTACTCCCACGTTTATAGCAGCACTATTTACAATAGCTAAGATCTGGAAACAGCCCAAGTGTCCATCAGTAAACAAATAAATAAAAAAGCTGTGGTACATATACACAATGGAGTACTATGCAGCTGTAAGAAAGAAAGAAAGATTTCTTACTCTTTAGGACGACATGGAGGGACCTGGAAAGTATTATCCTAAGTGAAACAAGCCAAGCAGAAAAAGACAAAAAACACATGATCTCACTTATTTGTGGAATATAATGAACATAACAGCCTGAGGAATAGGGTAGACCCAGAGACGTGGAAGTAGGGTACAGACTGACAACCCTCAAAAGAGGGGGTCGGGGGGTGGGAAGAGATAAACCCAC